AAGAGACAGTGGCAGATGCACTAATAAATTATATGTGTCGCATGAGCGTCACTTCCAAGATAATTACTGATTTGGGGACCTCATTTACCTCCAAACTAATGAAAAGACTGTGGCAAATCTGCAGCATTACTCGCATCATCTCATTTCCCTTATCATCCCCAGACCAATGGTTTAATTGAGAAATTTAATGGTACCCTAATGAGAATTATTCTAGCATATACAGCTGAGAATCCAAATGACTGGGACCATAAATTACAACCATTATTATACGCCTATAAATCTGTACCCCAGGAAAGTACAGGATTTAGCCCTTTCGAATTATTGTTTGGAAGGAAAGCTAGAGGACCCCTAGATCTACTCTGTCAAAACTGGGAGGAACATAGGGTGATCCTGAGTCAGTTGTCCAATACATTGATGAACTGATGAACTCCTTGCAGCAGTCTCTGAAGATAGCAGCAGAGAACTTAAAGAGCAATCAGGGAAAGCAAAAACACTGGTACGACAAGAGAGCCAAGAAAAGGGTATTTAATCCTGTACACAAAGTGTTCATGCTGAGACCCATTAAAGGAAGTGAACTTCAATTAGCATGGTCAGGTCCATTTAGAGTGATCTCTAAAATGAGTGACGTGAATTATGTACTTCAGGAGGAGGGAGAAGAAGGCAGATGGGTTGTGCACATAAATATGATTAAACCATATTATAGGAAGAAAATTTTTGTTTTGTATGCCATCAAGGAAACACCCAATGAAAAACCTGAATTACAGTATTGGGAAGGAAGGGGTGAACTCCAGTATAACCCCGAGGAAGTCAGAATTAGCCTTACCCTATCACCAGAGCAACAAGAAGAAGCAAGAGCCTTGCTGCTAAAATATACAAGCAAGTATTTTCTAATAAGCCTGATGTGGCCAAGGATGTAGTCCATAAAATAGATACTGGGGATGCACACCTCATAGCTGTCACTCCTTATCGGGTAACAGGTCCATACGTTGCCAAGGTTCATGGGGAGTTATAGATGAGATGCTGGAGGTAAAAATTATAATTCCTTCCTCTAGCCCTTGGGCAGCCCCAATAGTGCTGGTAGATAAGCCAGATGGAAGGATCCGCTTCTGCATAGACTACAGAAAATTAAATCACATCACTAAAACAGATGCTTACTTGATAGACAACCTGATAGAGACTATAGGAAGATGTCAGTATATTTCAAGTTTCGACCTGACTAAGGGGTTCTGGCAAGTGGCCCTAGACCCCAAAGATCAAGAAAAAATCACGTTCTGTAGCCCCCTAGGCTTGTTTGAATTCCGGGTCATGAGTTTGGTATTAAAAAACGCTCCAGCGACCTTTCAGAGACTCACAGACAAAACCTTACAGGGGCTTGGGGAGTTCACAGTAGCGTACATGTACAATATAGGGATTTATAGCCAGATCTGGGAAGAGCACAAAATCCACCTTGAAACAGTACTACAGAGATTACAGGAGGCTGGTTTAACAGTTAAAGCAAGTAAATGCCAACTGGGGTGTTCAGAATTAAAATATTTAGGCCATGTAGTAGGTGGAGGCATAATGAACCCCCTTGAATCAAAAATAGAGGCTATTAACAATTGGCCCAAGCCAACATCCAAGAAAAAAATAAGAGCCTTTCTAGGGTTAGCCGGCTACTATCGTTGCTTTGTGCCTAACTTCAGTGAGATAGCTGCCCCTCTGTCTAATTTAACCCACAAAAGACAAGCTGAGAAAATCCAATGGATGGCTGACTGCAAGGAAGCCTTTAACAAACTGAAGACAGCATTGACCACTGCTCCAGTCCTGATTGTCATGAGATGGGATATTTAGTTGAGATCTTGTACTGAAGATGGGTTATGTAGTAGTGAACAATGTAAGAGGGATTCCATATTGGTTCTCTGCATAGATGATTTCTGCAATGCTGACAAAGTATCTGCTAGTAGGAGGATGGGAGAATGCTCTTCTGAAGACCTGAGAAGAACATTCCACGATAAGATAGATGGACTTTGTTGTGGCGTATTGCAGATGGCTAACCCAAATAACACCTGTTACCTATGGGAAAGGAATGGGGCAGAGAGGACTACCCATGGGAAAGGAATGGAGCAGAAGGACAGGAGATAAAGAAGGACTGTTTACCCAACGTTGTACTGTGATTGGATGACGACCGTGAGAAGAGGAAGATAAGGGATATGCCAGCTAAGCTTGAAAAAGGAACTTTTGCCTATGGACAACACAGGAGATGAGAACAACATAGATTAGTTTTTAGAGAAAGATGTGATTATTAGCAGTAGTAAAATTAATAGAATAGGACATTTCTTTTACAGGACTTTTCTTTTTACAGGATAATGATGGACTTTGGACTTTTACACTTATTTGGATTATTTTCTTCATTTTGCTTTTCCTTATGGATTACCTTTTTGGATTAGAGGGGAGGCACCTGCCTTTTTGCCTACTTAACCAGTTTTTACTTATTTTCTTGGATTTTGGGGACTTTTGCTATTTTTAGTAGTTTTATATTTTTCATGGATTCTTTGCTTCATTACAATTTCATAATTAACCTTCAAAATGATCATTTGCATGCTTTTGCATAAACTGACTTTTTCTTTATGGAATTTTCTATTTTCTTTAATAAAACAATGATTATAAAAATCAATTGGTCTCTTGAACAGTAAAATGTCTTAGGTCATCCGTGATGGTATTGCCTCGGCCTATTTTACTTAAAGAGTCCTAGCCTGTGGGGCATAGTATGTCTATGGACTATAAAACCCACATGGTTTTCTATCTGAAACCTAAGGTACAAAAGTGTTCTTATTAGGGCAGACTTGTAAGTGGGTGTTTGGCTCACGCCTTGCTGAGATCTACGACTCACTCATCACCATAAGGGTGTGCAAACTCCTCTGTCCGCCAACTAGGTATCCTCTAGGGGTGACCTGGGTCGTGACACTGAGAGCCCCAGACTTCCAGCGTGAGTTTATAGTCTTCACAGATGAGTCCAATGTCGGGCTGGGAGCTGTGCTGAGCCAAACTGATGACGAAAGAAACCATCATCCTGTGACCTTCCTCAGCAAGAAACTGCAGGCAGGTGAGAGGCATTTATCCACGATTGAGCGGGAATGCCTAGCCATAGTCTGGGCATTGCAAAAACTGAGACCATATATCTGGGGAAGACATTTTGTACTATACACTGACCATTCCCCACTTTTGTGGCTAAGGACTATTTGGCCCAATAACAACAAACTGATGAGGTGGGTCCTACTCTTGCAGGACTTTGACTTTGAAATTCATAATGTGAAGGGAACCCAGAACGTGGTGGCTGACATGTTGTCTCGAAGACCAGATGAACGGATGGATGAAAAAAAGTATAATGTTGTAAGAAATGTTCTATTTGTACACTAGTTTGAGATATAATTAAACTGCAATGTCTTGTTGAAATAATGATAAGTAGTGGTATAAAAATAAAAGTAATATGAATTATATTAATGTAATTAATGCAAATGGTTATAATTGTACTAATTGTTTTAAATGTTTAAAGTGATAAGTTTGATCTGCTAAACATAGTAATTGGTAACATGTAGTACATGATTTAATATGTAGCATATTATTGTGAGGATATTTTGGATGAATTGTTCCCTGCATATTTCGTTGTTCATAAGGGTAAACTATAAGGTTTCCCTCATGAAACAAACTTTTCTTAGGGGGAAAGTATGTGATGATTGCCCCACATCACTCCTGTCACTCATATTCAGGATCTCATTTGCATGAGCCTATGAGGGGAGCGGAGGGGCAGAGTCAGCAGATATAAGGTTTTGGCAGAAGTGCTGGAGGAGATATAGAATTTGCAGAGAGAGAGATAGTCAAGGAGAAAGTGAGAACAGATATTAATAGAGATAAAGTGGTCTATATAGTTAGAGCAGGTGGTGATTAAGTATGTGTGAAGATATATGATATTTTAATGATTGGATTGTATGCATTGAATAAAGAACATCTATGATTCTGATTACAGTTAATACACTTCAATAAATAAGTTCTGTTGGCAGCAACTAGATAAGTGTCTACTAAAGTTCTTTATATATTGTGGATAAAGGAAATCCATTGGTGGCAGTGAGGAAAAGAGAGAACGTCACAATTGATATCTCCTAGTGGGATGACATAGTGTGAGCCCTTTGTCTGGGGAACCAAGCAGGGGCCACGTGGTAAACGTCACAGTAGCTTTGATGACACTGTCTAACCATCTCCTCCTCTGTCGTCCGGTTCTCCTCTTGCCTTCACACTTTCCCAACATCAGGGTCTTTTCCAGGGAGTCTTCTCATGAGATGGCCAAAGTATTGGAGCTTCAGCTTCAGGATCTGTCCTTCCAGTGAGCACTGAGGGTTGATTTCCTTCAAAATGGATAGGTTAGGTTTGACATACTTCTGCCCAAAGGACCTAATAATATTATAAATAAGTACATTGGGAAGAACACAAGAAAAGGGAGAAAAACCATAGATACAGTACTGGGATGAACAGGAAACGTATGTAACACTGGCTGAAATCCTTTTGTGCAGCTCTGTATGTGCAACAGGCAAGTAGCTACTGATTAAAGGTTTCCTTTTCATGTCGCATGCGACTTTACATCTCAAAATCACCTTTTACGTGCCGAGATTTGCTGCCGCTACTTCTGTCACCCCCGCTACACCCCCCCCAAGCTACGCAACAGGACGAAGCAGTTCTGTTTCACTTGCACAAGCCAGAGGTTTTCAACTGTTCATATTTTCAGTATCAACCACTTCGCTTCCAACTTCTAACCATCCTCTCCCCTCATCCTCAGCTACTAGTTTCTCCATCCATCCCCCTCTGCACCCATGGCGCCTGTGTGAGGAAGTGGCCTTGCGGCGCCTCGCAGACAGAGAAAGGTAAAGAAGCGATGATGGGAGTGGGTGTCTCCCTGCCTGTGCAGTCGCACGTCACGTGCAGGGGGAAACGGCGACGTCCCACAAAGGCGCCATTCGTGGGGATCGCGGTCATGGCGGGCGCCGGGCCACCTGGGGGGCTTCACGCCGCCGCAGCGCCTGCTCCTCCGCCGCCGCCGTTGTTCAGCTGGGTCTCGGGAGCGTCGCTGTTGGTGTGCGCGGCCCTGCTCGGTCTCGCCGGGGTCCTGGGCTGGCGGCTGGGCCGGCGCAGCGGAACCTCCCGGGTGGATTGCTGGGTCTTGTGCTGGCTCTGCTACGACGCGCTCGTCCACGGGTGTCTGGTGAGAGCGAGGGTGAAGAAGGGCAGGGGCTCGCGGGGCAGCTCGGGTTGCTCGCGGAGGCAGCAGAGAGGCAGAGGGAGTGTGGGGCAGGTGTGTTCTTCGGAGGGAAAGACTCCTTTGTGCCCATCATTTCTCCAGATACTCTTTCACCCTTCCGTTTGAGAGTTCGAGTAGCCTTCTTCAAAAAGGCTGCCAGTTTAACCGCATTCCAGCTCCACAATTAAGCAGCAGCTCACCTTTAGCTCTAACGTGACCGAGTGATTCTTTCATTCCTAGCTTTGTCATAAGGAGTAGCTAGAGGTGAGTTAGACCTGCGCTCCCTACCGTCGCCCCTGGCTTGTTCTCTTGACTCAATTTCTTCAACTTGAGCTACGTTAAAAAAATATGTGAGACTTTTCCAGACTTGGGAACTGTGTTCTTAGAGCGTCCAGACTTGAACTGGAACACACACACTCCTCACAACCTGATCTAATTTGCAAGATTGTCCTACAGATTAAATCGAGGGTAGGAAAACACCTTGAGAAACAGTTTGAGCTTCCTCTAGAAAAAAATAAATTAGAAAATGTATTGAGTAATGTTAAGAGATGATGATGGGGAAGGATATTTATCACTTTTTTTTCATGTTGGTGAGACCCTGAAGTAGGTCCAATGCTAAAGATATGTTACTCCTAGGTATCCATCTTGCTTTTTTTTGTTCCCTTTTGTATATCCCTGAATTTGGAGTCTCTATCCTGTGGGTCAGAGCAGATACAACTGTATTTAAGGGCTTGGCTGTACTGTACTGTACTGTACATGAATGATTTTGTTATGTGTTCAGAATGGAAGCTGGAAGACTGCAAGTAGAGTAGAGTAGATCAGTGGATTTCCGGTATAGCTTGGTACTAAGATGTCCATGTTGTAGTCTCACAGTGAGTGGTGTCTGGAAAATGCACCTGATGCATAGATATTCCAGGATGAGGTTGTGTTGGGTAAAAGTTATTGAAATCCTGGTGGGATTTTTCTAGGAATTACTTTCCAAGAGTCCGGATCAGAAAAACGTCATCAGTGTACAGTACCTCAAATAGAGGAGTTGCTTTTGGGTGCATCAGTTATGAAAGCATTGTTCCAGGTCAGCCATGAATATGTTTGCATATTCTGGAGCCATGCAGGTGTCCGTTGCAGTTCAATTGATCTGGAGGTAGGTTTTATTGTCAAAGGTGAAATAGTTGTATGTGAATATAGAGTCATATAGGATGGTGATTATGTGGGTTTCTTCCTAGTTTGGGATGGTGTTAGTGATAGTTTGTATCCGTCTTTGTGTGTAATGTTAGTATAGAGTGCCTGTGACGTTCCACACAATGTTCCCTGTTTGTTTCCTCCAAACCAAGGTTCATTCTGGTGACGTTTCCTCTTTCATTCGCTGCCACCGGTGGAGATCCCTTATCCACACTCTCACAATACTTGAATCAGACACTTACTGCCAACATAACTTGCTTATTTAGATTGAATTTGAATCACACATGTTCTTTTTAATCAGTGTATAGAATCACTCGTTAAAACTTCTTACCTTTGGTTACACATTCAATTCTTCATTTGTTTTATGGATTTATTCACTTTAACCAACTTATTAATAATATCAGTTCTCTCTAGTTTTCTATCTATCTATCTTGACTATTCAGTTTCTCTCCTCCACACTCTTTCACCTTCTCCCTCTCTAACGGCCTAACTGACTCCGCCCCTCCTGTCCTCTCATAGGCTCCTGCACTTGAGCTTCAGCTATGAGTGTCAGGCGTGACGTGGGCATTCCGTCACAGTGCCTCTACATCCACATTGTAGCTAGGATGTTTTTGTCAGGAGGATCGTGTGTGGACTGAAGTTTCCTTAGGAAATCTGTGGTATCTCGTACGTAAGTAGGTGAATTGGTGACAGTATAACATAGCCAGCAGGGGCGGCTGAGGGGTCCAGATACCCTGACTGTGATGGTGTTGACAATGGTTCTACCAGGGTTTCCTGGTTTGTATATTTTCAGTAGAAGGTAGAAGGCTGAGGTTCTTGTGGTGTGTTTAGCAGGGTTTGTTCATGTGTGTTTCCAGGGAGGTCTTTTATCAGGTTCTGTAATTCTTTTTAGTATTGGTGGTTGGGTCTGTGGTGGTGACCTTATTAGATGAAGAAGGGAGAGCTGCAGAAAAAAGAGCAAAAGCTGCAGAAAAGAGAAGAAAAGACACTAATCCAGATAATACTGTATATGAATATCTGTGATATAACTGAAACTAAGAAATTATTTAAATACAATAAGAACTTCTGTGTAAAAAATCACATCAGATTTTAAATACAGTGATAATAAAAGCATTGATCATAATGAGTAATGACAGACAAAATATGTTTTAACAACAATCTTTAGAGTGATGTAGGTGGTAGACCGAGACTTGAGACCTGGGTTCAAACCCCCCTTCAATCATGAAAACTCACAGGGAGGAATGGTAAACCATTCTTTGGACATTTCACATATCTTCAAAACTAATTAGTATCACCATTGAGCTGGAAGTGGCTGACAGATCATAACAACAAATAAACAGTCTAATAAGTGCGGGTGGCATACAAGTCAAATGAATAAATAATTAAATGGAGGGGATGAAAGAAAGTGGCTTAATTCTTGGCATAAGTCACACTATAGTTGGCCAATTAAAGTAGTGGGGATTTGGCAAGTCCACTCCATAATTTCCATTGATTCAAACAGACCTGTTCTAGTTATGACTTCCTTTAGCATAGCAAACCATAATAGAGTAGGCAGGTGGAACTAATGGAGGAGTTGACTCATCCAGTCTCCACTGATCCAATAGAACTTCTGTAGTGTGACTTACTATGCTAAACAACAGAATTTCAGTCAATTTGATAGTGCAGAAGTACTGGCTAACATAGTCCAACATTTAAAGAGTCTGACAGGCAAAAACAAGTCTAATGAGCCATACAGTAACTCCAAGCTTAATTAGTATACCTTAAACCAATGATGGTGAACTTATGGCACACGTGCCACAGCTGGCACGCAGAGCCCTTTCTGTGGGCACGCAAGCCATAAGCCGCTGGATCGCTACTCCCCCCCACAGCCAAACCTCAGGAGGCGGCTGTAGCCGTGGTACTGGTACTTTGACAGATGGATCCGGAGCAGCTGGTGCTGGAGGCGGATCTGGAGTGGGGTCTCGAGGCACTTCTTTGCCTAGGAGTCCCCCTTCCGCTGCCACTTCTGGTTACGCCGCGGCATGCTGCCCACTGCTTTGTTTTGTTTTGATTTTTCAGTTTGGGCATGCAAGCCCAAAAAGGTTTGCCGCCACTGCCTTAAACTAAAATACATTTCACCATGAATTTCTGGATAGCTCAGTAGTTTAAGTATCTGGCTGAGAGTTCAGTTCCCCGCTGTGCCTCCTCCACAGGGGCTGGACTCAAATGATCCATAGGATCCCTTCCAGCTCTGCAGTTCTAAGATAATGATGATGGTTTTCTTAAATTTTCTAAGTAAGAGTGATGACTCCAGTCCAAGTAGCATGTTGCCACACATTTATTTCTAGCTCTAGAAAATGGCAGGCAAAGACAGAATTATTACATAAAATGAAAAAAATAATTAAAATCCACTAATTGGACATACATACCAGAATGATAACATAAGAATGTAGTATGCAATCTCATAGCTACTGTAAACATCCATATAAGGGAAGTTAATAGCTGAATCTGGTACAGAGGAGAATAAAATTATGATTATTTAAAAGGCAAACTTTAAAGAAGAAGAACAAGCCAAAGTGAAATACTGGGCATGTTAAAATTGTGTTGGGTTCCAAAGAATAAGGATACCCTTACCGAGAAAGGTCATGCTAAATAAGAAGTACTTGTAAGTTGCAGTTATGGATGTGTACAACTTCAACCGTAACTTTTTGTTTTAAACCAAAGGATGTTGTTGTTTTGCTTGTTTGTTTTGTTTTGGGCCTCTGGGTATAGATGAGAATTCTATGGGTAGTTACAAATCAAGCTTTTCTCACACTGTCATACTGCCCCAATTTACTACATTTTCTAGACGATTCGGATGTTAACTCATAATCAGCTTATAACTTAAGGATAAGCAGTGGGAAAACACTGCTTGTTGTAGGAAATTATTTAAAAGAAAAAGAATACCAACGCCACGCTTTTTAACTGGCAGCATGAGAAGTTCTCCCTCCGGAAAGATCCTCTGTATTGGATTGTGTGAGTTAATAAAATGGATTTCACAAAAAAGGACTTGCACACACAAGACGTATTTGAAGGGAGCAGAAGAAACCTTTAGTTTAAAAGAAGAGTTTAAATGCTTGCAATTGTACTCATGTACTAAACCCTGTAAATTGAGGCACTTGTCTCTCTGGCTTGCAAGCTGTGCGCATGTTCTTTAGTCTTGTATCCAATGGTCATTGTAACGTGGCTGAGCCACTCTGAGGTCACCTCCTACTCAGGCCTCTCAGAATGCCCACCACGCCACTCAACACTCTTGCTGCCACCAACCTATCCTTTAAATCACAAGGACTAGGGTTTCTCTTAAACAAAAATGGTTTATTGATTACAAGAAATAAAATAAGTAAATCACAGGAAGTTAATCTCGATGGTAAATCACTGTTTCTTATTTAATCAAAACATAGACTATCCCTCACTGACTACACAGGCACACAGGCCTCTAAACAAGCTCTCCAGATCTCACTCACTCTCTAACTCTATCAATCTCTCAAACTGATCTCTCAAACACTATACACACCCCTTTATATCCCAGCTCCTCCCCCTTTAGCACCACCTTCCGTCCCCTCATTGGCTGCTGTTCCACTGCCCAGCTGTGATGGACAGGTGAGGGCAGGGCTGAACGTTACAGTCATGAGCTGCTTAGCCCCTGCTGTTTGCCTTGCTTTCAGCACCAATCTTCTTAGCAGGTGGAAGAGCTGGTATATCGCATTCTGAGTGGGCAATAACCCCCATTTACTTTGAGCCGAAAGGGCTGGTTCATTTCAGAGTTATACTGGGTTTTGTGGGATGAAATAATTGGGCTGTAATATGGGATTCTTGAACAGTAAATAAAACCACTCACTATAGACTTTGGAACTCTAGATTGCCATTGACTCTTTCTACAGTACTGTATTTGTTGCCAGTCATTCATACGGAGAAGCTAAATTAATGGTACTTTGGCACAGTGTTGTGTTAAGGCTGGCAAAAGCCTGACCTAGAGAGACACAGTGTCCCTCTCCCTCCCTATTTCATGCACTATCCTGGTAACAGACATACCATTAATAACTAATAGTACATAGATTGTTTGCTTTTACCCATAGGAAGGCCCATTTGTTTATCTCTCTCTGATGGGAAGTGTTGCAAAATCGGATGATATAACTGCTTTGCTGTGTAAGTACTCTGTGCAAATATACAGTAAATTAATACTGTTTACATGATCTGGAATACATTAGCAGTGCTTATATTTGGTCTGAATGTTGTTTATTATCCTAAATGTTATAAAATTAATGTTCTTTACTTCACAGCCCAGCAGCATAAAACAAATTGGCAGAAATTGTTGATATAACTCTGTATGATTCCTGAAGCTCTTCTAAACTTCTAAATTTATGTTGTGCAGCAGTATAGGCTTTCTAAATTATATGTGCACTTCGGGTTCATAATATTACATCAGATGTTTGGTTAGCACAATATAGTTTCAGGGAAATTGATTTGACTCCTGTTGTTGGAGATTCTTGGTCGAAAAGCTTGATGCTGTCATCAGCCTTTATGACCAGAGAATTGAACAAGAGGATTTCAGCCACTAACGGCTTTCGAAAGTTAACAGTAATTGTCTCATCATACAGTACTAGTATTCGATTACTGAACACAGGAGTCCGCATACTGAAGTTTCATTGTTTTTGAAGCCTTGAAACACAGCAGTTCCATCAGATGTGTGATAAGTGCAATTATATGTGCCATGAAGATGACTCTGGCCCCAACAGTATCATAAATTTGTTTAATGTTGAGCTAAAGTTTGTATGGGCCAATACTATGTTGTCAGAAATTAGAATGGATGGGCAAAGGGTGAATGAGAAACAACTAATGCGGAAGGTGATAAACGTTTCTAAATTTTGTGCCCTGGGTGTGGTGATTTCCTCCCTGTAAAAAGCAAAGTACTTGCGAACAATGGTCATGTGAGCTGCCATTTTTGTCTCACAGTGTGTCGGTTCATGAGAAGAGAAGACTCCCTGGAAAAGACCCTGATGTTAGGAAAGTGTGAAGGCAAGCGGAGAAGGGGATGACAGAGGATGAGATGGTTGGACAGTGTCATCTAAGCTACTAACATGAATTTGACCAAACTCCAGGAGACAGTGGAAGACAGGAGGGCCTGGCGTGCTCTGATCCATGGGGTCACAAATATTCGGACATGACTAAATGACTAAACAACAATGATTTATGTAGTGACAGATCAGTAAAGTTATGTAGGGAAAAAAGGATAATGACACCCCTCCTTTCTCCAACATGCCAATTCAGTGGTGCTGTATCAGAGAAAATCTTCCTAACAGATCCTGTGAATTATCTTCTACCTCCCATCATGAAGTCAAATTTCTCCACCTACTAGCTGTTTTTAATTCACACAGCCTCTTTCTTCAACTTGGACATGAATCCCTCTACTTTGTGGACCCATTCTTTACCCTTTCACAGCAAACATCCCTAGTATGCTTCCATTTCCATTACTGCCTCCCCCAAAATGTATTGCTTGGAACATCACTTCAGACAACTGTGATAAATGGAATGCAGTCTTGAAATAAAGGTTTTACCAACCTGTGGCTCTCATTTCTGCCTTGTGTGCAAGCCTGTAACAAGAAATTTTCGAATCAGGGTAACCTGAATATAATAAAGGTGACCAGCATAACTAAAAAGTATCTGAGGTGTGATGCTTGTGAATACAAGTCTCCTCTGAGAAATAAATTTGTGTGCAAGGAGTACACATTTGGTAGAAAGAGATAAGTGGTCAGTGATCTGGGTTGGTTGGTTACATCTCTGTCCCCACCTATGATTACAGGCCTTTCGGTTCATCTTGATTATTAAATATTCAATGTACTAAGTGAATATGTAGTGGGGCATTCATTGCACATTTAAACAGAATAGAATTTTTTTAAAGGCTGAAAAAGCAGTAGTTACTGTATATTGCTCAGTGACTGCATCAGAAACCCCATCTTTCATGTTTTTCTGTCTCTTGTCACTAGAAGGAATTGTGGGGAGAGGGCAAGGATCATCAAAGAGAGTTCCTGAGAGGTCAACAGAAATAGAATGTGAAAGCTTACTTTTATCTATAGTGGTGCCCCGCTTGACGACAATAATGTGTTCCAGGAACTGCAAACATTAGCGGTGCCACCAACAAGTGCCACCTCTTTGGTTTCTCTATCACCAACTTCCTTAACATCCCCTTGAGTGTTTTATTGAATCTTTCCACTAATCCGTTTCTTTGCGGGTGATAGACAGCAGTGTGTAGGGGTTTTACCCCTAACAATCCCCACATTTCTTTCAAGGTCTGTCCCATAAAGTTGGTGCCCTGGTCTGTTAGTATTTCTTTAGGGAAACCCAGCCTTGTGAATACTTGCAACAGCTCTCTAGCCAGCACCTTGGACGTCGTGGAGCGTAATGGTACTGCTTCGGGATACCTTGTGGCATAATCTATAATGACCAAAATATGGGTGTGACCACTTGCTGATCTAATGAGGGGCCCCACAATGTCAACTCCTATCCTTTGGAATGGTTGGTCCACTAGGGGCATAGGTATCAGAGGGGCTCCTGGTTTAGGTTTGACTTGAGTCTTCTGGCATTCTGGACGTGATTGGCAATAATTTTCCACCTCTTTATCTAAACCTGGCCACCAAAATCTTTGTTCAATTCGTGGTTTCATTTTATCATATGCCAGATGCCCAGCCATAGGGATATCATGGGCTAGATGTAAAATCACCATACGCCACTTTTGGGGGACAACCAACCGCTTTTCTCCTTTCACTGTCACACTATATAGTAATCCATTATCCAAAACCATCCCTTTCTCCCCTTTCTCCAAAGTTCCCACCTCACATGTAGCATGAAGGTGTTCTTGCAATGTCGTGTCGTCTTGTTGCAGCATACGCACGTGGTCGCGTGTTGTCTCCTGCAAGAAATCATCTCCCACTTCAATTCTAACGCAATCTTCTTGCATCCCCTCTTTACTCCCCGATAATGTCTTGTCCCCCACCCAGTCTCTCCCTAACAACATCTCTCTTGAAAGTCCGGGGACGATCCCTATTTTCATTTTTCGTTTCTCATCTCCAACTCTTACTTCAGCCCAAGTCGTCTTATAAGTTTTAGAGTCTCCGTGTATGCATCTCACCGTGAATCCTTCTTCCATCCCCTTTGTTTTCAAGTCTCAAACCAATGTTCTCCCACAGCCAGTGTCAATCAACGCTTGTTTCTTTTCCCCGTTTACCCAGGCAACCACCTCCCAACCTACTTGTTTCCCCTGTTTTTCTCGGCCGACATTCGACCCTCCTACCCATGAGCAGTCTGTTCCTGGGCAATCCCAACGCACGTGGCCGGGGGTCCCACAGCCGAAACACACGAGCCCTCCAAAGACACGATCATCCACAGTGACAGGTCGCACTGGTTTTGGATCCATTGGCTCGAAAGGGCGTCCGCATGCTCGAGCACTGCCTGGCACGTCCATATTTCTCCGAACTCCACCGCCTTGTGCCTGCGCCACCGCCTTCTCACGAGGTCGCCCACGTTCTCCTGTCGGGCCAGGACTTTCCTTTCCCACTTCCTCTAAAGCGCAATAGTCTTCGATCAGCTTGATGGCTTCCTCCAATTGCTTAGGGTTATTCTTTTGGACCCACCCCTTCAGGTTCCCGCTCAAAGTCGTCCATAACCTGTTCTTTGGACTTATCTTCTGGCTTGATCCACCTAGTCATATTAGCCTTCATTCTCTGCACTAAAGTTCATGGATGGACTCCCGGCTTCCACTTCAACTCCCTAAACCGTTTTCTATAAGCCTCTTCTGTCAAGTTAAGAGTCCTTAGGATCGCTGTCTTTACCGACTCATATTGTGCAGCTTCCTGAGGGCTCAAAGTATCCACCACTTCTTGTAACAGTCCAGTTAAGCACCGCACCAATATCAAAGTCCACTGCTCCTTCGGCCAACCCGCCACCACTGCTACCCGTTCAAACGTGTGGAGGTATGCTTCAGGGTCGTCACTAGCACTCATCTTTTATATTCGGATGGGAGCGGGTCCTGCCACCAGTCCATTCTTTATAAGCACATTATTTCTCAGTCCTTTTTCTTCCTCCATTCCTAATTTCATCATCTGTCTAGTAACCAGCATTTGTTGTTCTGTCAAACTTTCAATCATCCTCTCTTGCCTCTCTATGGCCCTCAACATCCTCGTCATTTCTTCTCTGCCTACCCATTGGCCTGCCCCACGTTGGGCGCCACTGTGATTGGGTTCTTTGTCTAAAGTAGGTGGGCCTAGGGATTCGGCGGGAATGACAGATGGAGTAGACATTATGGTTCCAAAAGGTTTTGCTTTATTAACTTTAACATCAAACAACTCTGAACCAAACGGGTCCGGCAACTCTTCATCAGTTAACAAATTATACTTCTTGGGTTTAGTCCCAGGTCCCACATCTTTAACCTTTACCGTTTCTTCACCCCAAAGTGGGGGGTTACGTTCTGATTCACGACTGGTGCACTCAGCACCGTGCAGGTCATCCTGCAACATGGATGTATCACGACACAACCCTCCAGCCTGGGCAGGAAAGGGCTGGCTCCACCAAGGGTCCCACAGTCCTCTGAAGGTGGGGCAGTCGAACCCGCTCCCTGTTTCCATCCCTTTTCTTCTCACCTGCTCCAAACTTATCTGCTTCCTTAGGTAGAGGCAGTAACCCATCCTCTCTCATCAGGTTCGGGAAATTCTTCCCAAGTGTCGCAATCCTTTCCCTTTCTGCCCCAGTTTCCACCGTCTGTGTCTCTTTTTCCACTCCCAATGAACTCCACCTTCCTTCCCCTTTTTCCTCTTTTATACTGTCATCCCATCTCCACGTCTCTGGCTCCTCCCCCCAATCTCTGGACCTCTCTGCTAAGAACACCTCTATTGCTTTATTAGTCCCGCTTTTCATCCTTCACATTCTTCTTTCCTCATCACCAGTGAGGACGGCTCACTTCTATTCCTCCACTCACAACATTCAAGTCCAATAATCTATGTCTATATTGTACCAAAATTTTGTGCCCATTTAATCATTATTGCTTTCACCCTTTCATCTTCTAAATTGTATTCTAACAAAAAACTATACTTTTTTGTATAATCTTATCACTGGTATAAATCCATAAATTATCCACCTGTACCTTCCCTTCATAA